ATAATATCTTACATTTAGTAGTCACTTGACTTTAAAAATATGTCTTCACTTTTAAATACTGGAATTTTAATTTTTAGACTCTTTGGCCAAAAGTGGGCTTTGCCATTTAGAAGTAAATACATCAGTGAATTACATTCACAGTTTTCATTAGACATATGCACATGTAGTATACTTCTTGTTTCAAGCAAAAGAACTTAGGACATTTGTACTAGTTTGCTTGGATTACTCTAACAAAGTATCACATACTGGGTAGCTTTAAGAGAAATTTATTGCCTCACAGCTCTGGACACTAAGAAGTCTGAGATCAAGGTGTTGATGGGTTGGTTTCTTCTGAGGGCTGTGAGGGAGAATCTGTTCCAAGGCTCTCTGCTGATATCTGGCAATATGCAGGCAATTTTTGACATTCCTTGGCTTGTAAATGTATCACTGATACATGACTTTATGTCACATGGCATTCTTCTCATGTGCATATCTCTCTGTGTCCAATTCTTCCCCCCTTTCATAGGGACACAGTCACATTGGATTAAGGCTCACTGAATGGCCTTAACTTAATCATTTACAAAGACCTTATCTATACTAATAAAAGGGTAATATGCTAATTAGTCCAGGAGACTGACCAGGGAGGGCAGTTGGGGGCCATGAGGCCGGCATGGGGGCACAGTTGGGGGTGAGCAGGATGGCAAGGGGGGCAGTTGGGGGTGAGCAGGCCGGCAGGCAGAGTGGTTAGAGGTGATTAGGCAGGCGGGCAGACAAGTGGTTAGGGGCCAGTGGTCCCAGATTGCAAGAGGCATGTCTGACTGCTGGTTATCCCCCAAGAGGTCCCAGATTGGAGAGGGTGCAGGCCGGGCTGAGAGACTCCCCATGCATGAATTTTGTGCACCGGGCCACTAGCATATATATAAAAGGCTAAGTGACTGTCTGACCAGCCAGTACTTATGATGCGAACTGACCACCTTGGGGTAGGCGCTCAAGGCAGGAGCTGTCCCAGTCAGCTGGTGCCTGCTGGTCAGTGCGCTCCCATGGGTGGAACACTGCTCAGCCAGAAGCTGGGCTCACAGCTGGCGAGCTCAGTGGCAGTGACCGGAGCCTCCCCACCTCTGCAGAAGTGCTAAGGAGCAGCGAGCAGGCGGGTGGTGAGGAGCAATGGGTCCCAGACTGCAAGTGAGATCCCGGACTATAAGAGGGATGTGTGACTGCTGGTTTAGGCCAATCCCCTGATGATTAGGCCTAAGCTGGCAGTCGGACATCCCCTGAGGGGTCCCAGACTGGGAGAGAGGGCAGGCAGGGATAAGGGACCTTCACCTCCCCCTGGTGCAGGAATTTCATGCACTGGGCCTCTAGTATGATCATATTTACTAATGGGTTAATATGTTGTGTCATATTGAAAATTTTATTAATATGAAGAAAAACTTGTATCATTGGGATAAATCACACTTCATAATAGCACTGGGCCATCTGTTAATATTTCATTTTAAACATGTGTAGGAATATTTAATGCTATTGGTCTGTAATTTCCCATTTTGTATAATTTATGTGTAAACTGTGTTTATCAATATTAAAACAAATGGACTATGACATCCTGATCTCTGAGGGTTTGGTAGAGTTCCCTTTGAAATGTCTGTATCTTATGCTCTTCAGTGGAGTGGTTACATTACATTTTTAATTTTTCTACTAAAATTTGTCCATTTAATTACTTTACTTCTTTCAGAGCCAATTTTGTATCTTCCAAGGAAAGTCTATATTTTATCTATTTTTACCAGATTTTATCGCTCAGTTTTTACAAGTTTCCATTTCTACATGACCAGCAGAGGGCACTGTTGGGTTGCCCTGGGATCCCGGCAGAGCTGCTCAGGGAAGACTGTTCACTCAAAACACCTGGGCCTCAAGGCTGGGCCCTGTGCTCACTGCTGGAGACTCAGCAGCTGAGACCCCTCTGGATGGCAGCGCCCCCTGCGTGGGGACAGTTGTGCTGTCTCAGCAGGTGCTTCCTCCCAGGGCCCCCAAGGGGTGAGCCCACTTCCATGCCCCTCAGTCTGGGGTGTGAGCTGAGCTCCAGCCCCAGGGCCCAGGGAGGGGCTGGGCAGTCCCTGGAGGGACTCTCATTTGCATGTCAGCCCCTCCCCTGGCAGAGGGTGGGGAGAAAAGGAGGCCTGGGCAGCCCAGCCCCACTGTGGGCTCAGGGCTGTGAGCACCATGGCCTGGACTCCTCTGTTCCTTGCGCTCCTCTCTCACTGCACAGGTAGGGACAGGCCTGGGACCCGGCTTCTTCCCTTCCTGCGCAGGCTCCTGGGAAACGTCCCCTGGTCCCTGCCCATCACTGACAAGTGTCTGTGTCTGCAGGGTCCCTCTCCCAGGTTGTGGTGACTCAGCCGCCCTCCCTCTCTGCATCTCCGGGAGCCCCAGCCAGACTCACCTGCACCCTGAACAGTGACGTCAGTGTTGGCGTCTATAACATACGCTGGTTCCAGCAGAAGCTCGGGAGCCCTCCCTGGTATCTCCTGAGATATACATCAGAGTCAGATAAGAACCAGGGCTCCGGGGTGCCCAGCCGTTTCTCTGGATCCAAAGATGCCTCGGCCAATGCGGGGCTCCTGACCATCTCGGGGCTGCAGCCTGAGGACGAGGCCGACTATTACTGCGCTACAACTCATGGCAGTGGGAGCAGCTTTCGTTACCCACAGTGTCTCAGATGACGAGGAAGTGAGACCAAAACCCCTGGGCCCTGAGGTGGTGTTTCTGAGCCTCCCTT